GCACGATCTTGGCTCACTGCAACCTCCGCCTCCTGGGTTCAAGCGATTCTCCTGCCTCAGTCTCCCCAGTAGCTGGGATTACAGGCGTGTGACACCAAGCCCGGCTAATTTTTGTATTTTTAGTAGAGTTGGGGTTTCACCATGTTGCCCAGGCTGGTCTTGAACTCCTGACCTCAGGTGATCCACCCGCCTTGGCCTCCCAAAGTGCTGGGATTACAGGCAGAAACCACTGCGTCCAGCCCACCATGGAATTTGTGATTTAATTGACCTGAGATACAGGCTGAGCGTCAAACTTCCCCAGGTGATTCTAATGTGCAGCAAAATTTAAAAGCAATTGTTCTAGTTCAGGGAATCTTAACCGTAGAATAACACAGGGTGTTTAAAACAAAAAACAAGAAAAAAACAATGCCTGGACCCCATCTCAGACCAAGTAAATAAGAACCTCAGAGATGAGCAGGGCGCTTTGCACATGTTACTCCTTCCGTCTGGAATGCTGTGACTTACTTTTCTGGCCATTACTCTCCTACTCATCCTTCCAGATTCAATGCAGTACAATTTATTTGGGGGCAGCTTACTCCAGCCTGAGGGGAGGTGCTCTCCTGCCATTCCACTCTGTTAAACTCAGCAAACACTTCTCACATTGCTGTGAAGGGTCTGTTTACTTATCTGACTGCAGTTGGCATCATGTTTTTTTCCTGCTTCGGGCCCAGTAAATATGTGTTGAATGAGTGAATGAGAGAGAACACGAGAGTGAGCAGCAGGGGCTCAAAGCCATCTCTAGAGACTGCAGGGGGTGCCCTGTGGCTACTGCCTGCCCAAGGCAGGTGCTGTGTGTGTGTGGGGGTGTCTGGTGGGGCCATAGAGCGTTACCCAGGTTGGCACTGAGTGTGAGGTGCAGCTTCTTCCTCCAGAGCTCGGCAGCAAGGACACCATTGTAGTGCACAGCCTGGACCCCGATTGCCAGCAGCACTGCTGTCTCCTGCTCACTGTGGTTAACCAGCGTCACTGAGATCTGGGTATCCCCTCTTAGGGGTAGGGAGCTGGGTGCTTTCAAGAGCAGGTACAGAGGATTGGCAGTCTGGAGAGTGGGAGGACGGATGCCGTTGTCTTTCCCATGTTCCATTTTCTCTTTCTCAACTCTCTCCAGCACCTCTTTTTCCTGAAGAGACCCTGGAGAAGGGAAGAAACAAAGCTGACCTTTTACCCGGGTGGTATACACGCTTCTCATAAAACCCTGGGAATCAAAACCATTTACCCACTTCTGCTCAAATGCCAAAGTCATGAGAGCTCTGCAAGCCTCTAAGGCCGTATTTAGCCCAAAAATGTCTGTGTCAGGCAGATCCACCACCGATACAGTGTGTCTCTTCCAAACCACTCAAGGACCAAGTTCTTTTTCAAGTGCTATGAATTCGCCCCTTGAACGATGAGAGAGGAAGGTTGGGGACAAGTCAACACTGTCTCTGAGGACAGTTTTGCAGGGAACTGAATCTTCCTGTGTGAAAGAATTTAGACTTCCTCTGAGGGTCAGGAATGCCGCCAAATGTCCTAGGGTGCACAGTCTCTACAACAAAGACATATCTGGACCCAAATGTCAATGGTGTCAAATGGGGTTGAGAAACCCTGTTTTATATGATGGGGAAAGGACAAGGCTCTTCCTGACTGCATCT